AGCGAATGAAGAACCCAAGAAGACATGTAAGATACCTCTGACTTTGGTGCCTTCAGGACCATATCTCGTTTTTTGCCTTTGTTTTTCTTCTGTATCATAGCGGTCAAATCGATGGGAGGGCAGGACAAACGATGGGAAGAATGACAGTTTGCGTTACTTGTGTTAGGCTGTTGGGAGCTGTTAGGAACTACCTGCCCGTTAGGAAGACTAGAAGACCAGCTGATGTAGCTCATTGGCAGTAAATAAGTGTAAACTAATCTACGTCGGTAGTTCGTCGTAGGTAAGAATAAAAGGGCAGTGTCAGGCCAAGACACGCTGAGATTTGGCGCGTAACGTTACAATGTAAGATGGAGAGTATCGCCCTGCCCTGCTATCCACAGTTACGAGTACCGTGAATTGGCCGTGAGTAAATATCTATAACAAAGCCGGCTTACCTGAGAACGTTGGTTTACAAAAGGTTGGAATGATACCACCAGTAACCACCAGTCCCTCAGGCTTCCTCTGCTGGAAAGGGCAGTCCCAGCCAGGTATCATGGTGGTCAACCGACGATATTTAGGCAACACGTGGCATCGGTTGACGTCGGTCCGAAGTGCACCTGACCGTTTCACAGCCACCTATGCAACTGCCAAAATTCAGAACCAACTTTATCTGTCTCACTTTCTTGTTTCCCGGTGAAAGCGACGTGTACGACTCTATCAAGTCCATTTCTCCTCGGGATATTGCCACGGTAGGACTACCTCCACTTCAAGAAAAGGCCCCCATCAATCTCAAATACCGACCATTGGTAGAGGTCGATATCCGAACAGAGGAACAGAGCATAGGATTCTCATGTGTGAATAAAGAGTTATGGTGTAATGATAAGGGGGACAATGCTCAAGGAGACAAGCTCGCGCCGAGGAGGATACCAGACGAACGTGCGTGTTCTTTACCATCATCTCTGATTCTGTCATAGTCATTTTTGTTGACTAGTTTTCCGTCTTAGCAAGAGGGACTACGGTCACTGTTGACTGTCTGATAATGCCAATCCGGGGCTAGACATCTGGCGGTCACTAACCAGGGGATAGTGCCTTAGCGATAGATTAGCTCTGAACGAACGAAAATGAGGCTTTCGGAAATTGTCTATTGCGCATTGGAGTACATACAGCAACGGTGAGAAAGGGTAAGAACTAAAATAGCACCCGGCGGCGCGTCTGACTGAACGCGTCGCGCGGGGTGACACGTGATATTCACCTGACCATTTCACAGCCACCCATGCGAACGTTCAACGTTCATGAATCATGAGTCCATCCAGTCGATATTTTCACCGCCTTAAGCAGGCCTACCCCCTTTCCTCCCGAGATATTGTACAGTCAATTAACGATAGGTTTGCAGGACGAACGATAGATGAGGACTCCGGAAGATTGTGCATTCAACAATAATTGTATCAACTTCCAGGCCGAGCCGGGTCGGCAAACCTTTGCAGAGGTTGAGGATGAAGGGAAGACCAATTGGAAACGAGTGTTTGCATTGGCCTTTTGAATGATTCAACTTCGTTAACAGTGATACATATAAATTATCTTGGGAGAAACATTGTTAAAGATATCAAACAGAAACTCAACATAGGGCATAGTGGTACGTACCAAACTGTCGTAGGCATCTGTATATGCAAGAAACTCAAAACCTGCATGAGAACTGCTGACTCGGCAAGGTATCGTAGACGTCAACCGACGACCATCTGTCCAAGAATGTCGATCATAGGTAGGTATTAGGTGGTATTACATGACAGTCGCATGACTCGATGTAGTCTGCATCAAGAGATTTATATATATCACCTTATTTCCTCAATGTTCAATAACATTAGTGAAGTAATATGTCGAAGACAGCGCTATTTACCAGCCTATCCAGCTACCCATTGGTCAGCGGCCGGTACAGGCCAGCACCACCTTCGAAGTTTCTGATACATTCCGAATTCGAAGGAAATCACAATATGTAACAGTCCATATACTTACTACATCTTTTCACTAAAGGTTCGTCAATATCATGTTTCGCTTCGCACACAAAGTTCGAAATGTAGACTTACAGTTCAAAGTCCCGATAAATATTCTACCAGGTACTCATAGTCGGACGAATCAAATCCATAAATAGAGTCGATAGCAACGTCGGAATCGCAATAATCTTCCTCGTCATGATCTGACCGGTCGAAGAGTTTGTTCGTAGGAAGCGGATAGAGCAAACCGGGAGGAATATCTGTTGTTTCAACGTGGATACGCTTATTCCGAGGACCAACGGATGCAAGCAACATGCGGTAACGATGTCGTGCCGTTACTTCGATAGAAAATTTGGTACAACCATAATTCTTGACAGCTAATCGCGCTAGGCGTACCCACTGCCTGCCACTGGCTCGACTTTGGTATGACTTGTCACTGAGTAAGATAGACGACAGATGAGGAAAAGGTAAGGGCGCTGTTTTGCAGTGCATTGCAAACCCTTCCACATCTTTCAAGTTGTCCACCAGTTCCAAACGATTTAACGATATCAAAGAGCGGAAGAACTCGGCATCAGTAGGTGATACGGAGCAACGCTGCAAACGTAGTGTTTGCAATTTCAGTAGGTCTGTGAAGTGGCCGCCGAGATTAGGATTGAAGGAAGAGTTGTCGCCTAGAACCTCGAGATATTCGAGGTTCGGAAGCGAAGAGAGCCTAGGTCACATGAACAATTCCACGGTGCATGCGAAAACTTGTAATGAGTGTCATCGAGCTCAACTGCGAGCGACCGCAGCGAGCTGGAGGTTAATACGATGGGCTGATTCTCCCTCTGGCTTCCACTCCGATTTTGACCAAATTTCGGCAAGATGAGTGTTTCGAGAGTCGGGAAGCACATGAATATAATGCGCATACCTTCGTGTCGAAGAGATGTGAGCTCGAGCTTGACAAGGCGGGAGATTGATGCTGTGTTTGAGGGTAAGCCTTTACCCCCATTAGAACGGAATGAGTAAATGGAATCAAGTAAGAGGGGAGCGCCTCGCGGCGATCCTTTGACATCAATGGAAAGGTTAACGAGATGCGGAGTTGACATCGGCCGGTACAATGAAGAAAATAATTCGGCATCCTGGAAGTCGCTGACACTCAACGAAAGTGTCCTCGTACGCACAAGATGGATCGACGTCAACTCCGCAACTCGAAACCCAGTGGAAGCGATCGGCCCACTCATCCGAAACCCACCTTGACCAAAGATGACTTGGACGTCAACATCCAGAAGTCGGGTCTTTGATCGTTCAAGGAAGAGTTCGGCGGGTGGTATATGGCTTAGATCATGTATATAGATGGTGGTCCAAAGTTCAGATGCCCCGATAGCAGCATCCCGCCAACGGCGACAGATGCTGCACACTACGGCAAGGAAGGGGCCGTGCTCTATTGGTAACAGGCTGTTAATCGCAGTGGCAAAGATGTAGGCTAGAAGTTCGTTGGGTAAACACTCGTTGATTCTGTTGATCGCAGTCGATCTGGCTTTTCCTCGTCTGATTTTGCTCCAGGAAGGCTAATAATCCGGTCAGCGAATGAAGAACCCAAGAAGACATGTAAGATACCTCTGACTTTGGTGCCTTCGGGATCGTATATCGTTTCTTTCCTTCGGTTTTCTTCTGTATCATAGCAGTCGATCGATGGGAGGGCAGGACAAACGACGAGAAGCGTGACAGTTTGCGTTACTCGTGTTAGGCTGCTGGGAACTGTTAGGAATCGCCTGCCCGCTAGGAAGACTAGAAGACCAGCTGATGTAACTCACTGGCATTGGCAGTAAATAAGTGTAAACTAATCTACGTCGTGCCCTGCCCTGTTATCCACAGCTACGAGTACCGTGAATCAGTGGCCGTGGGTAAATATCTATAACAAAGCCGGCTTACCTGAGAACGCTGGTTACAAAAAAATTGGAAGAATACCACCAGTCCCTCAGGCTTCCTCTGCTGGAAGGGGGAGTCCCAGCCAGGAATCATGGTGGTCAACCGACAATATTTAGCTGCGCGGCACCGGTCCGAAGTACACCTGACCGTTTCACAGCCACCTATGCAACTGCCAAATTCAGAACCAAAAGTCTGTCTCACTTTCTTGCTTCTGGTGAAAGTGACGTTTACGACTCTATCAAGTCAATATTGCTGCCGCCTCATTTCTCAGGATATTGCACGGTAGGACTGCCTTCACCTCAAGAAAGGCCCCGAATCCCCCATCGAATCCCAAACACCGACTGTTGGTAGAGGACGATATCCGAACAGAGGAACAGAGCGTAGGATTCTCATGTGTGACTGAAGATTTATGGTGTAATGCGAAGTGTAATGGTAAGGGTACAAAGCTCAAGGAGACAAGCTCGCGCCGAGGAGGATACTGGACGAACGTGCGTGTTCTTTACCATCATCTCTGATTCTGTGTTCCAAGTACTAGTACTTTTTCAGCGTTCACGGGAAAGGACATTCACTAGAGAAACCTACCTGTGTGAAAAGATTGGTCACGTCGTTATCTGGACCCTGAGAGCCAGGTCGCCTCGAGGTGGTTCCCTCTTCAATTTTCCCGGCGCGCACATTCGCAGTCGGAGTCAATGGTCGGTAAATTCTCGGAATGGTCTTCATCTCTCTCATTCTTGGTCTTCTAGGCCTCAAAGAGCGCCTTCTTGAGGCTAAATGTCATCCTGGAAGAAAGAACTCGTCGTGATAGCTACATGACCTAGCTTCCTTTCTTCGTACTGGAGCCGCCCTTCTCGTAGACATCTCCTTGGTGAGTGGAGCCTTGCACGATCATGTACGAAAGTTATGTGATGAAGGTGTAAGTCCTCCATTCATAGCTCGACTACCAAGCTTATTTGGTTTCGGAAGCAGTCAATACCACCCAGGACACAATCCAAGGAGATAGAAAGCCGATTACGACAACGGACATGCTACCAATTATACCAGTTCTGTGAATGGTAACGTCTTTGTTGTATCATGATCTCTTTCTGATCCTTCTTTCTTAGCTCTGCGCAGACATCAACTTGGAATCGATCGTGGAACGACAAGAAAGTACATCGGCCCGGATACTTCTGTCTATCATTATCGCCCACCAGTATTTTGGCTCGTCGATAATCAAAATTCTACCCCACCCCCACCAATTTATGTCACGGCGCTATTCCTGCGCAAATGCCTTCGGACACCTTACCGGCTTCTCACAGCGGCAAACACAACTCCCGTTATATCATCTGCCTCAATCTTACTCCCAATCGAACCGATAGAGGAATTGTGCATTGTTAGGATACCAAGGCCTACCCAAATCGCAGACTCGTCCTTTCCCCACTGTGATCGGAGCCATCTCCTCCAAACGAATTGCGAGAACTTTTATCAGGGTAAGAGCTGGTAGGAGAGAAGATATCCGCGCACGTGGGTGGCCTATTTTTCAACCCAAACTTAAGGATCCGAGCCTGAGCATTCTCTTTCTCAGTCATACTGACGAAATCCGTTTGTCGCTCTCTTCCTCACCCCCAAACGTGATGCTTTTCCTGGAGTGTAGACCACAACCTACGCAGCCTCAGAATTCTTGCGTAGAGACCCTTGGCTAGGAAGTCGAGCCGTCACCGAGCATTGGACCCTTTAACATTGTTGTAGAAGCTCTCTCTGATACCGCAGTTCAAGGAAGGCGAGCGGGAGAAAATCGCAAAAAAAAAACTGCTAGAGGAGGAAGGCGCGTATTCTCTTGTCTTGGTTCTGATTCTGTGGTCACGGTCAAGGTCACTTGAACTTTGCCACACAGCTAGATTGAGAATACCATGTATCATACCATTCTTCAAAATATTCTCTGTATCTCACGAAACCTTGCCCGATGCTTGTATCATGTCGCCCGGTTGATAGATAACAGAACTGCTCGACTCCCGAGCTCCAATGATCAATCAAGAAGGGCCAGAACTAGTGGTAAGGTAACCCCTGCCCTTCCCCAATACACCGGACTTCAGGTTAAAAGCGAGCTCGTGGATACACCACCCCGTACCTCCGTGCCCTTCTCCTTTACTCGCCTCGTTTTCGCAACTGCTGCTACCATATCGCAACAGGGAGTACTTTGAGGTAAGTTCTCCGTTTGTGTTATTTCGAGTTCCCGTATATACACTCATATTTTCCACGTAGCATGGTTTATAGTCAGAAGACTCTATTCGTGTGTGACCAAATATGAAGGTCCGACCTGCCTTTAAATACCCATTATCTCTCTACCCGTAATCCATGCCGGGAACACCACAGATATGCCTAGATAATTCAAGCAGAAATGACAATTTACGATCCGGTTGGGCGGTGCGCTTCGGGAAGCTGTTTTGTGTGGTTATGAAGCTGTTACGTTTCGGCCAATCGGATGTACACAGCAACTCGAGAAATCCGCACGTGAATGCTGCGTGTAGTACCCTTGTTCTCTCCCTTCAACAGCTCCGTCGTTACACGTCTTGCTTGCGACTATGACTACACCGAAGCTTCGACTGGTCAAGGAAAATGGCCTTGATGTGTCGATCATGGCGGTCGACCTTGCCAAGGTAGAAAATCCTCGTGATCCCGGAATCGCTGAAGCAAACCTCCATCGTTAGGCCGCCGCCGCTGCTGCCACTTCAACGCCAATCTTGGGCGCAGCTGCTGAAATCCTTCACGGTATTTTGCAACAGATATCTCAGACCCAACAGAACAAAGACCTGGCGAAGGAGATTGCACGCCGTTGCGTTAGGATATTTACTGATATTCATGAGATGCTGGATGCGTGGGGAATTGCACCTGGGCCGATGATATCGAAACTTATCAAAAAATTTGAAGCGTAAGTCTGAGTCTGTGTCTATTGCTTATATTGTTCAACTCGAAGTTACAGGGACCTTTCTGAGATTGAAACATTTGTTGCAAAGGAAGTTCAAAAGCACACATTTCGTCGCCTTTTTGTTGCCAAGCAGAGTGCCGAGAAGCTTCAAAAACTTCAAAAGAGGGTGGATGATACGATGGACCTCTTCAAGGTTGAACTCTCGCCAGCCGTTCTTGGTTTCGGTTATTGACTCCAATACAGATGGAAGCCATGATCTTGTGTGGTACAGCTGCCGAGCGTGTCTTGTCAAGTACATCTGAACGTGCACAGAACGTTGTCTCAGGAAATGGTCATGAAAAGGTGGTCGAGGACGATAATATTGCTACTAATCTGGTGCGTTTAGTACTGTCGTCTACTACATACTCATGGATACAAGTAAGCTTTCCAGATCATCGACAAGTCTCATCTACCTCCCGAGGAGGAACTCTTCATTAAAAACGGTCTTCGAATCTATTCTACTTCAATAAACGGTCAAATCGCAGTCGTGAAAATCTTCCTCGGTCGTGATGCCCCAAAAGTACGACATCATTTTACTCCTAGTAATGTCCCTCAGGCTCATACAAAGCAGAATTGGAGAAAAACAGTTCAATTTGACAAAATCGTAATGTGCGCGCCGTTCTTCTTAGGCTTTAGCATCGATGATGTTTTTATCTGTATCTATCAGGCACCCACATATCCTGTCTTTGAAGGCTATGTCATCTCGCAATGCTTGTACACCCTTTATAGTATACGGTATCAGTTAAGTGACATGGTATGAAATGACGAATGCCTATTTTTTGATCATGTTGCTTAGACGAACACCAAAGTCCTGAATTATTTACCGCTACGGCGATTCTCTCTGGCATTGATTCGACATTCGTAGCAGGAGCAACTCTGGTATTCTGTACCAGTCGTTTGCTTTCGTTCTTGAAAACTGATCAATTTCACAGATCTCTGGGATTTCTGTACGTATCTTGGACACAAGAAATTATTTCCCGAAATGATGGTTCTGCAGTCAGCATTGGACTACCTAAGTTGTTCCGATATTCGTCTTGACTCTGCTGATATCGAGGTAACCCTAATTGTTACTCGCCCAGTTCTCTTACTCAATTCAAGTTCATTAGAATATTTATATCTTCATGGATGGTCCCAACAAAGCCGTTCTGTCGATAAACACTTACTATAGGTTGTCGAATTCGACACCATCAGACTTACTACCAAGTCAAATGGCGCTTGACGCGTTAAATTATCTGTGTCTCAAGGCAAGCACAATCTCCCACCTTGAAATAGCAGTCCGCACTAATGGGCACTGAATCAGATTTTCAACGGTGCCAACCCAATTATTATACAGTAAGTTTGCCCTTTGCTTGAGTAAGTGGTTCAGAAAATCTATCTCGACATGCAGAGGATTACCTTGTCCGTGATGGCGGCATGTCCTAAACCTTCCGATGACACCGTTACTGAATCATCGCTTGAAGTTAGTTCTAAGGATGATGATCTATCCTCTACCACCGGTGCTTCGAGTTCGGTGAATGATGCCAAGCTTTCACAGCCTCGCCGAGAGATTATATGGCCAGTCACTCAATGAATGCACCACCACCTTGAAAGACACTTCACAGCAGTTCAAAAATGCTCTCAAATCTCGATCCATCACTTCGTTTCATTGGAACGTAGAAAACGCGTACGGCGGTGCCAATCAATCCCATAGATGTCAGGGTTATCGGCGAGAGGAGGTAACACTGACGCCAGTGGTTGCGGATTGTCGAGTCATCACAGATACAACGCCTATCCTCCATGAGCAATGTCCAATTTGCGGAGAGAAAGTTGGGGAGGGTCCATTTCGCTGCGTGTGTGGAAACGGTACGTTGGCTGTTGGTAGTCTGAATGGATGCTTCAATGATCCTGGTTTCCAGATGACGATGGTGTTTCTCCGACCGTGAGATGCAACCTGGTGCTTAGCATGGGGACATAGCCGTTGCAGGACGTCGAAGGACTTCCTTTGCAAGGACTGTGCGCCGAGTATGAATTTTCAGGGATCAGGGTATGTCATGCCAACTCATCCCTTGCAACTCACTACTCATCGATAACCTACCTCCCTACTGTCTAAAGAATGTCTCGTCCCAGAAGATTCTGCGGAAGACAGTGGTGCCCACAAGCTCCATGGTCGATCGGCAAATATTGTTGGTACCAATTCGTACAGAACGGGCGGCCTGTAATCGCTCGCTACCAATGTCTTGTCCTCCGTACGTATCTCCTTCGCCGAATTCTAGCCATAGTTGACACAGTACCGCAGATGACAGCACCAACAAAATCCCGTGAGTCTGTACTCCCGACTGCGATACTGATAGCCCGCTCATTGCGTCCCCCAGCCGTGGAGTAGCCCGCAATTATGGCGCCAGGTTTAACATGGTTAGGACCGACCTAATTATATGCGTACGCATATCGTACGAACAACGGCTCACAGTGTCCATTGTAGCTCGCGGTGTTGTTAAGTCGATTCCTTGCTTTACTTACTCCCTACATTCATCATGCTTTTAATATCGCGCTTCGTAGATTACTAATTTTTGTTGAATTTTTGTTCGTGTTGTTGTTTTCGCAAGGCTTTCATTCTTAAGCCATTATATTCGAATGTTTACTACATTGCGATGCAGGAACAGCCTATTGTTTACAATGCATACTTCCAGATCTATCATCTTCAATGCATATCCAGGTCCTAGCGCAACCATTCTCTATAGTCGGATGCTATCCTCCCGGTTCTTGTCTACTAGGTCTCTCTCTAACCCTGGATGTCTCTTCCTCAAATTAGCAGATCCAGCCGAGGTTGTTTGTGTTGCAAAAAAAAAAGCCGCGCAGAAAAAGTACATGTGATATTCACCTGACTTCTCACGGCCAAATTCGGACTCAAATTTACTCTCACTTTGTCGCTCGTCGTGAAAGCGACGTTTATGACTCTATCAAGTCAATATCGGTGCTGCCAGTATTTCATCTCGGTAAGATTGCCTCCACCTCAAGAAAGGGCCCCGAAACCCCCCATCAAATCCCAAAACACCGACCGTGGTAGAGGACGATACCGAATAGAGGAACAGAGCATAGGATTCTCATGTATGAACGGGTGTAACGATATAGGTACGAAGCTCAAGGAGACAAGCTCGCGCCGAGAAGGATAACGACGAACGTGCGTGTTCTTTAACCATCATCTCTGATTTTGTGGTTCAAGTACTAGTACTTGTTCAGCATTCCATTCACTTAGAGAAACCGACCTGTGTGAGGAGATTGGGTATCCCTGAGAGCTAGGTCCGCCTCGAGGTGGTTCACTCTTCAGTTTCCCCGGCGCGCGCAATTCGCAGCCGGAAGTCAATAGTCGGTAAATTCTCGGATAGTTTCATCTCTCTCATTCTTGGGCTTCTAGGCCTCCTTCTTGAGGCTAATGTCATCCTGGAAGAAAGAACTCGTCGTGATAGCTACAACGACCTAGCTTCCTTTCTTCATAGTGGGGCTACCCTTCTCATAGAGATCTCCTTGGCGGGTGGAGCCTTGCACGATCGCGTAGTGATGAAGGTGTAAGTCCTCCATTCATAGCTCGACTACCAAGCTTATTTGGTTTCGGAAGCAGTCAATACCACCCATGGACACAATCCAAGGAGATAGAAAGCCGACTACGACAACGGAACATGCTACCAATTATACCAGTTCTGTGAATGGTAACGTCTTTGTTGTATCATGATCTCTTTCTGATCCTTCTTTCTAGCTCTGCGCAGAACATCAACTTGGAACTCGATCGTGGAACGACAAGAAAGTACATCGGCCCGGATACTTCTGTCTAATCATTATCGCCCACCAGTATTTTGGCTCGTCGATAATCAAAATTCTACCCCACCCCCACCAATTTATGTCATAGTGCTATTCCTGCTTATTACGGCTTCTCACAGCAACTGATCATGATCCCCGTCCCCCGTTCCCCGTTTGTATCATCTGCCTCAATCTCATCCCGATCGAACCGATAGAGGAATTGTGCATTGTTAAGATATACAAAGGCCTACCCACCCTTACGATGATCGGAACCGTTTGTCCTCTTCTAAATGAATTGCGAGATCATCTTTCTTCCAGGGTAGGAGAGAAGATATCCACCGCACGTGGGTGGTCTATTTTTCAACCCCAAGGATCCGAGCCTTTCTCAGTCATACCGCACGAAGCCCGTTCCACCCCAGAACGTGATGCTGGATCATAAATCCGCCTACAAAATCTTGCGCGGAGAGGAAGTCGGGCCGTTGTCGAACATTGGACCCTTTACGTTGTGGTAGAGCGAGTCCCGTCGTCGCGACTCGCGAAACCATTCATACTCTTCCTCCATTGGGATGGGGAAGGCTAGATCTGCCGACGACCGAATCACATTCTCGCATTCCAGCTTCCTAGAAGAATACACGTCGCTGGCGATATATGCATCCAAGAAACGACCCTCTCACGTCCAAGGAAACAGGAAGACAGAGACATGACAGCAACGAGAATGCCGGCGTCTCCGCTGCATCATGGTCCTCCTCACTTCGCCACACCATGTACTCATCACAACCGACCCAGTCTACCAAGTCCTATATGGAATGCCATTTTACAGCTACGGACATACCATACGGCTCTCCCTAGGCTTATAATGGTTCCTACTTTCTGATCCACCGACAATCGAACAAACATTTCTGAATGGACCTTCCCCACGCATCTTCCTGTGAGAGAAGAGTGCATGTAGACCCGAGCCGGAACATGTTATGACTCCCCCACCCCAGAACGTGATCCTCTTCACGGGGGTAGATCACATTTTTCAACTCTCGTACGACTGCGCAAGGTCCTTCCACGTAGAGGAGAGTCGCCATGGACAACACAAGACGTATCTTCTGATGAATGAGGGGTAGAAAGGACCTCAAGTGATCCAGGTCGATATCAGACGGTCCGCGTCTGCGATAGTGGCATGTTGAACGAGACTCGGTTTCTCTTTTCGTTGTGGAGCTATCCTTCCTCCTTCGTGAGTGGAGCCATTGCATGACTCGGAAGTGTACGCAGAAGTAGGTCCTGTAGTTCCGACCACAAACTTAGTGGAATAGCAAGCAAATAGGAAATCTCCCACGATAACAGGCGTGAGAGGGCTCGACTACGCCGGGACAGTGAATGGTACGGTACCGTCTCCACTGCCTCAGGTTCTCTTGCTGATTCTCTTCGTTCTTTCACAGCCGACGTCGTTGGTTATCCCTTTTATCGTTGCCCCTTGCTTCATGCACTGCGATCTACGTGGAAATGTAACGACTCTTTCCTGAACTTCAAGTTGCCGACGATCGAACAACATGATTTCTCTCCCACACGCGCGAAGACCGGAAGACGCGCGTGTTTCTCGAGATGTCCGTCATGAACGAATTGTGAAGATCATACGGGGAGGGAAGAGAAGATATCTATGCACGTGGCTGGTCTAGTTGTTCTGACGCTCCCGCACAATCGCCCTACCCATTCGTCACTCTCCCTCTTCGCGGGTAGAATCACAACTCACACCACCTCCAAAACGTTCTTCAACTATGTAGCCCCCCGAGTCGCGCCATCAGGAAACCGTTGTGGACTATCATGGACGCTTCCTCTCCTCCCGTTTGAGGTGGAGAAAGGACAAGTTACCGTCCGGTGCCATGCTGCTTGTCAGGTTCGCCCGTCGTGAGGTTAACAAAAGTGCAGTACACCTTATTTCGTGGGTGCTTGGCTACCATGCACCAGACCCTTTTCAAAGCGAGTCGAGCCATGTCCTTTCCTCCATTGAGATGGAGAAGGCTGAGTTCCGAGCAAAGGAATTCTGCCGTAGCACATCTGGCTTCTCTTGGTATCAAAGACGACGGATCCGAAACGCGCTGTCACTTAACCCTTGCAATCGTTGCCACCTCCTACACCCCGGTGCCCTGCGACATGGATTCTATGAATCTTAGGCTGTCGCTTCGTCCCAGGGTAGAAGACACTTACGATAACGCGGGAAGGCAGGATTTCCGCAGCCTAGTGCACAGGGCTTTGTTTGCGGGCGAGTGTTGATCTGTATCGAGGATTATATCCTGTACTTGACAAGGAGAACCAGCGCCTGACGTGACACATATCCTCTCCTCCATCGCGCGCGCACTGTGTCCTTTCGGTGATTTCACAGTTACCGGGCGATATTACTTCAATATGACGCTGTGGGTCGCCGCCTGTAGGAGGTGTCCAATCGGACGAGTTCTGAGTGTTCATAGCCTGGGACTTATAGTTTCGGTTTTCAAACCGGATGTACGTAGTAAACGGCTGCATGGTGTTCATACAGAGGGACGTTTGTCAGCGAGGCTTCCAGGAGTCTAATTTCAGTGGAGATGAACAAAACTCGACACAAAACTCATAACCCTCCTTCCTTCCTTTCTGATCCGAGAACAGGTTACACCTCCGCGATCTTACGATCTCAACGAATCGCCTTGGGTCATAGCTCAGAAAAAAGAAATAGCTCGACAATTGGTATCAGACGCGGCCTTAAAGACGTGCCCCATCGACACCGGTGATGGCCCGATAACACGATTCGCTTTCAATACCGGGATTCAGGCAAGTCAAACACCAGAAAAAGAAACTGATAGCATAAGAAAAAATGGAAAGCATCATGCGGTTGGACTTGTGTGACATACATAGTACTCAAGTACGGTCTCGGTATCAAACCCAAAAAGAAAGAATTGCTAAAAATCATCTTCAACAAGCAGAACCGGCCGACTGACTGTGGGAATAATGAGGCTGACTAATCGTGAGGATTCGACCTCCGCCACGAGGCGGCTTCGGCATGAACCTGCCATAGAGCAAGACTTGCCTCGCCGGCGTTACTAGCCCAACCTCGTTACCCAATGCTCGTATCACGTCCACGATCCAGCGTCCTTCCTTCTAATCGCCAGTGCATCTATGTCTGTGATTCCGGCTGGAGCGCCTCTCCTTCCTGCACTATCGGATCATCTACCGCCTGAGGGAACGTCGTGGTAGTTGCGCGTTCAACACGACTCCCCTACGCATGTTTCCGACCACTACGCACATATTGGGACTTCCGACGATGCACATCGGACATGCGCACTGTAATTGACAACATCTCGGTCTCAGCGCTGCGGGTGTCATTGGTTTCCCCCGTCATCCATGCAATCACATTCACGCGCACGGTACGAGTAGCTTCGACCAGCCTTGCATCACCGCAGCACGACGATGGAACACCTTGCCAAACTCTCATATCCTCCTACATGTGTGCACAGCGACCTTTGATGATCACTACTGTTGTTATAGCCGCTTTCTTCATCACGATCCGACATCACCCCCACCCATGCTGCATTTGCCCTTCGTAGGGCCAGATGCGTATAGGAGCTCTGGGATTACGGGAGGGTTATATGATATACTATAGGAAAAGGTTGTCATGCTAGGTTCGGTGAGGTACAGGTCAAGTCCGCGGCCCACCCGCGCGCTAACTACCATACTCGTAGTTCCCATCCTTCGACGTGGAGCCAGCCTTCCTAATTGGTTTCTGGAAGCCGACTACAACAAACGTAACATCTCCACTACGTCATTATGATCCTCTTCCTTTCACAGGACGCTAATTTTACCGACGCTTCCT